CCCTCCACTGGCCTGCTACTCCTCCTTCCCCTCCTGCCTGAGTGCTCCAGCCCTCAGCACTCCTCAGGGCTAAGAAATAAGCAAGCCAATAAGGGATATCCCAACAAGAGGGAAGCAGGGTCAAGCCTTCTGACCATACTGCCCCTGAACTTACCTCCCTCCATGGTCTCTCTAGGCCCACAAGGGGTGCCAGGCACTAGCAAAGACGGGCAGGATGGCGCTCCCGGCGAACCCGGGCCTCCCGGCGATCCTGGTATTCCTGGCGCAGTTGGTGTTCAGGGGACTCCCGGGATCTGTGATACCTCAGCCTGCCAAGGAGCTGTGTTAGGAGGGGGCGGGGAGAAGTCGGGCCCTAGAAGCTCCTAAAATACAACGTGAGGAGGTGAGACACGAGTGGCGTTGGAGCTCCAGGATGTCACCCAAATGGTGGTTGGGGTTTCTGACACACTCCTTACGTCTGGAAAGTCCTCCTGGCCTTACCCCTCAGCATCTTCATCGGCAGCTGACTGAACGCTAGTCCGAGAGGACCTTTCATCAGCTGTTGTCCTAAGTGTCCTGCCTCTACATGTCCTTACGGTGGCCTGTTCATCTGTGATATCATACCTCAGACACAGGCCCTGTGTTATTATAACATGGTAAACCCAACATGTTGAGGGCTCTAGGGTGTATATATAAAAACTTCTCTTCAATTCCACGAGATCAAAAATATTCAGCAACTTGTTTACAGAGCACTGTGTGAAGACTATGATAAAATCCCAATAAAGTGATACCTTAAATCCTCAAATGAACAACCCTAATGTCCCCACCCTTCTCTCCAGAGACCCAGTCTGAGTCATGGGCCCCTTGCTGTGGACAGACTCACAAGTGTCTTTGACAAACAGTATTTATTGAAGGTGACTTTGTATTGCACTAAAGTCAGCTGGTGTTCTCTATTGTAATAAATAAAGCCACTCGTTTGAAAAACTCAATTCCAAACAATAGAGTTTATTACACGGGAAGTAATATGAAATGTGGGTACTGAGGCCATCTACTGTGACAATATTTCATTTTATGGACAAAAGTTGCTTTAAAAGGGGTTGCTGGGAAATTTCTAGCAAAAGGGTTTTAAATAGCACTGAATTTTGCAATGCAGTACCTTATAAGGGAATTATTACGGGGGTGGGAAGGGCATGGGTGATATAACTGAAATGAAAGGAAATTGACAAACTACTTCTAGTGAAGAACTAACTCGTTCCAATTGCTATATGGGCATATTTAAACTGTAACTCGTTCCAATTGCTAT